CCAAAACTAGGCTCAGTAAGGTCATCCAACACTCACAAACAAGATTTTTAAAATAAATAAAACACTTAAAAACGAAAACACTTTTTAATCACAAATATTTTGTTAAAAACCAAAAGGTTTTAAGTCATTTAGGAAATCAGTCTTTCTAAATGTTTCATCTTTATCATCCTTTTAGAAATGTTACTTTTATATTTCACAATTAATATGTGGGTATATTTATATAGAATTCAAATACATGTTTTAATGCTGTCAGACTGATGGATTAATGATATAAATGTTTTAAAAGGTAATAAAACATATACACCCTTGTAGGGATATACTCGGAAACTGTGCTGAGTCTAAAAATTGAGACAGAGGTGTAAGATTTCAAGACCTTAAGCAGTTCTAACAGCACCATCACACAGAGACCTTTAGCAAAACAAGGTGAGGCCTTCAGCAGTACAATTCCCAAATACAATCTGCAACACAGATGCTCATCAAGGCCAGCCTTTCTAAAGCCACAGCACCACACAGAAGAGCTCAGCACATGCCATTCCGTGAGCGTGGGCTGTGTGCTTGGTCTGACAAGGCAAGCAACAGAAACTGCACTGGCAGCCAAACAAGGAACGCAGCCTCAAGGTAGCAGCAGCAGCAGGAAAGGATGCCTTGGACCCGTCGCTGCTGCTGCTGCTGCTTCATTTCACTAGGCACAGTGACAGGCGGGGCACAAGGAAAGAGAGCGAGAAAGCACAGCCAGCCGGCGGTGGGTGTGGCTTGGCCTGGGTGAGCACCGGGTAGAGCTGTAGGCAGGTGGCATGGCCAGATCAGATGAGGCCTTCAGGTTCAAGCAATGGAAAACTTGGAAGGTCAGCTCAGGAAAACAGAGCGAAGGGAACCAACCAGAAGCCCAGTTCTGGGAGCACCTGATGGGGAGGGTGCTGGAATAAGTGAACCTGGAGGACAAAGACGGAATGTGAGGCTCCAGGAGCAGAGAGATGAGCCACGGGTTGCATGGTCCAGGGCATATGCTCAGGCACTCCAAAAGCAGCTGCTGACTCACGGTCAAGCTGAGCTGAGGTGCCAGCCCACACCTCTGAGGGCTGCAACTGCTTCCCTTGTCCTGTATTACTCATCCAGACAACCTCCCTAAAAATACCTACAGCAAGTGGCTGCGGCTCATGGGGAAAGTTCACAGAAGGCACAGGTTTAGACAAAGGAAAAAGAAAAAACCTGGGTACCCAGTTCTAACTGCAACCTCATCCTCCACTGTCATCCACCAAATAAGGAAGACACCTGTCCCAGGGACTTCAAAGGAAACAGCTCATCACATTCTTAGGTGATTAACTGGATTGATGAGAAAAGCAGCTCAAGCAGCTTGTAAGCAGTGAAAGCTCTCAAGACAGCTCTCTTTCGTATCTCCCTAAATTCTGATTTCCCCTCAACGTGATGTCCTCAATACAGCACTCTTACGGAATGTACACTCTGCTGGGGGAAGAAAACAGGCAGGCAGGGCACAAGCATGGCCAATTCACGGAAGAGACAGAGGGAAAAACTAAATCTGGTTAAGCTTCCTGGAGGAAGTACTAACAAAGCTGAACCTTGAAAGAACTGAAGGTCCCTGGAGATTCTGAGCAACAGCCGGTCCATGAAAGCATCACTGGGGGTCCTGGCCCAGTAGCCTAGTGGCTTAAATCCTCGCCTTGCACGCGCAGGGATCCCATTTGGGCGCTGGTTCTAATCCCGGCAGCCCCGCTTCCCATCCAGCTCCCTGCTTGCAGTCTGGGAAAGCAGTCGAGGACAGCCCAAGGCCTTGGGACCCCGTACCCTCATGGGAGATGCAGAAGAGGCTCCTGGCTTCAGATCGGTTTAGCTTCAGCCCTTGTGGAGTTTTAGCTTCACCCCAAGGCAGTGAACCAGTGGATGGAGAAGATCTTTCTGTCTCTCCTTCTCTCTGTAAATCTGACTTTCCAATAAAAATAAAAAAGCAAGCATCTCTGGAAGATAACAGCCAGGGTGCAGCTGGCAGTGGGGGAAAAATGAACAGCCTGGGGTTCCTTTGGGGGAATCTGTACAATGCTGAATATCTGACCCATTCTCTTGGGGGCTGACATCTAAGGTTTCCACGAAGGAGGAAGACACACCTGGAGCTAGCCCAAAAAAGACCCTTCCGAGGGTAGTGCGAAGGAGCTTTGTAAGAAGGCAGCAAGAGAAAAATGACACAAGGAGAAGAAATGGCACCTAAAGTCACAGACATACAAGCAGGCACAGAAATTCAAACTGCTGTGTGTGTGTGTGTGTGTGTGTGTGTGTTTCTCCTTCCAGGATTAAAACTTCTTGCATCCAGTCCTGTCCCTCAGAAGGAAATTCAAGCACCTTGCAGTATCCCAGTCACTGCAGCTTTCTCAACCCACCACACTGTGAAGGTGAATTTTTCACAGACCAGCCACATGGGCCCAGCCAACTTTACACTCAAGATCTAATTCATTCCCATTTATAAACCAAACTGCAAAATCTGGTGCAAGGAACTGCGCTCATCGCCGTTACCTTTCCCAACCCAAATAATGTAGTCTCAGATAAAGCATCTGTACTCTGGGCAGCCACAACATGGGGGACCCACACAGGAAAAGACTCATCTCTCCAGAGAAGCTGTGTTTCCAAACCAATGAGGGACAGGGGAGGGAAAACCAGCAGGCTCTGCACTGTTGGGGCTACAGGGTGTTAAGGTGAGGAGCCTGGGAAATGCAACATTCTTTCCTGCGGGTTTCCAAACTGACAGTGCAAGCTCCTGCCCTCTCCTTGCCTTAGTCACCTCTCACAGCACCAGCAGCCACTGATCTGATCTCAGTCCCACCACTACAAATACGACTTACTTAAAGACATTATTAACTTCAGGCCTCATTCTTCTCACCTCTTTTGAACTCCAGGGGCCCCAGGGGTCCTTCCAGCGCTATAAAAACGTCCATGACTTTTCAACACTTCATCTAATCCAAAATGTCTGACAGAGCAGCCAGACACTCCTGGACCAATATTCCAACGTGAAATTTCCCAAGGAGGATGGCAGAGGCTAGCCATTAATAAACAAAGAACACTGAATTCCTCACAGAAAAAGGACCAAAGATTGGAATAATAAAATCAAGATGTAATTGTAGCAAACCGTCTACCACGTGGAATTTTAGAATCCCAGTAAGCCTGTGGACTTTAAGAACATATACACAAAATAACAAGGTACCATATGCTTCAAATGTACTTTGGAAATGACGTGAAAATAGATTCATCCTTTCTGGGGTCGTTCCATATTATTCCTCCGGAAGTATGACTGGCAAAGGATTGGCTGCCCCCATAAAGATTCAATTAACATTTAAAACGTATATACTAATTATTAACTGGAAACAGGTGACTATTGAGAAAAAGAATAAGAACCGAGTTATCACATGGCCCGGGGTCTGTTTTCAAGTGTGATGTCTAACGCTTACTCAGCTGGTTTTCAAGGTCATTTCATTTCTAAATGTCCCCCTCATCTGCAAGTTTAAACCTCGTTCCTCCCCAGGAGAGGTGACCTTCCGGTCACTATCTAGATCCCCAGTGTATACTGGGCATCGCGCTAGCAGCACTGGGGACAGAGCCAGGGACCAAAAGAGGTCCAGTGCAACAGGATAATGCCACAGAAACACGAGGGCATTTTCTACACTTCTACAGGCCCAGGTAAAGCTTCCCGACAGGCAATTACTAGATGTGTTAGTAAAGAATGCACTGGAAAACAAAATCACCAATTAGAGAAAACTAGAGATCCACCACGGAGCAAACACAGCACATACTCCGAAGACCTTAAGCACAAGGGGCTCCTAGCCCTGGAAGCAGGGCACGAGGCTAACTTGGTCCAGAAAGAAGTTCCCCCGCGCCCGCGCCGCCTGTGCCCCTGGAGCGCGCGTAAAAGCAAAATGGAGGTGGGGCTCGGGCAGAGTCGCCCGCAGCGAAAACCTCGTGGCGCGCCTCATGGCGCCAATCCGCCTTCCTGCCCTGCTCTGCTCTGCTCTCCCAGGCGCGGCAGCACCTCCCGCCTCAACGCGCTTCCCTGGAGGAGCCGGGATCCGAGCCAAACTGGAGGTTATTCCACCGCAGGAGAAGGTGCCGCATCTTAAAAAGCAGTTACGGGCGCAAAGAAGGCACCATCAGGATTGCAGGGGGGTTGGGGGCTCCACCCAGCTCCATCTGCGGAGAGCGCCCCGGGCAAAGATAAGAGGGCTTTCGGGCCTGTCCGAGCTTAAGAAACAAAGAAAACTGACACTGAGGGGATTCAGACCCCGTACCAAGCCCCTCGGCTGCGGACGAAAGACGCGCACGACCGGGATGAGTGCAAGGAGCTGGCCCAACTTTCTCATTGGAACCGAGCACGTTTTCCTTGAGAGGCGCCAATAGCGGAAGCCCCCATTGATACCTCTGCACCTATTACACCCTCTCCTCCCTTTTTCCCTCTAGGGTCAAAAAGCAGCCTTCCCCAGATGGAGCTCCGATTCCTCGCGCATTCGCGCGCCACGCTCGCAGCCCTCCCGGGCGGGCGTCCCCGGTTCGCTCCGCCCTTAGCGCCCGGGCTGCGCCGCGGGGCGCGCACGTCCGCGTGAGACCGGGGGAGGGGGTGCCCCGGGAGCTGGTGAGGGGGACCCTGCGAGACGCCCTCTCCCCCAATACTACACTTACAAGACAATAAGAATCCGCTCTCCCGGCCCCTCCCCCATAGGACTCGGGCCACGAGTCGCCCAGCGGCCGGGGGGGGGGGTAGCGGAAGGGAGCGCGCCAGCTCTGCCACCGTGGCTAGGGAATCCTGGCTGCCCGGTCGCCCTACCACGGCGCCTCCCGGCTCGCGCGAGGCTGGCACGGTGCTGGAGCCTGGCGGTTCGCGGAGGAGGCGCGCGGACCACGCGGTGGCTGCAGCAAAACGACACGGCCGCGGCCACATGGGCCGCCGGGCCCGGACAGGGAGGGTGCGCGACCGCGGCCTGCCATGCCTGCCATGCCTGCCATACCTTGCCGCTTGCCGTGCCCCCACTGACGCCGATCAGGAAGGGTTCCCCGCCGTTGGGCTGCTGGTGGTTCTGGAGGGTCTGCTCGCTGTCCCCGGCCATGGCTCGCGCCGCCCCTCCTCCCGCTGCTGTACGAACGGACGCACGCTCCCCGCCCGCGCCCGCGCCGGCTGCCTCCGCTGCCTGGGCCAAGGCTGCCGCCGCCCGACCCCTGCTAGCCGCTCGGAGCCCGCTGGTGGCGCTGGGTTTCCCGCAGGAGCCACGAGTCCTCCTTCTGCCCGCAGCGGCCGGCCCGGTTTACATCCCAGGCAGAGGTCAGCGTGATGCTGCTGCTCCAATCCGGCGGGCAGCGCGCTGCTATTCGCCGAGGCGGAGGCGGCGAGGCGGCGGCCTCAGCCTCCGCCCCTCCCGGCCGTGCCGCCGCCCGCGGTCTCTGGGAAAGGTGCGAGCCCAGCCTCCTCCCTACCCGCCCCGAATTAACCCTTTCTCCGTCGCCCTCGGGCGGTTCCCCCTCCCCCAACGCAGGAAAAGCGACCGGCTGCTACGTGATCCTGTGCCGGCGCGCCACCGCCTAGTTCCGAAGGGATACATAGCGAGCAGGGGGCTTCGTGGGCAGCGCAGATAATGGAGAAGGCTACCCCAGGCCTGAGACGCTGAATTAGAGCAAGCTTCGAAGGTGAGACAGAAACAGAGTTAATGCCATCTGCTCGTTTTTCAGTAGATGAGATCTTTTCCCTCATTCGCCAAAATAATTTGTCAGCCGTTGGCTTTAGAGATTTCCAGCCTTGGAAACCCCCAAACGCCGTTGGCTGCAACTGGCCTGTCCTCGTGTGACTCCAAGAGAAGGGTGACTGCACGGCGTTTATCCCAACTGTGCCCTGTCTGGAAACCCAAGCCACCGTCTCCCATCCCAAACACCTAATGCTGTTTGGTTGCGTTGTTGTGAATATCTTAATCCAACTAGTTTCTCAGAGACTAACGATTCATTACTTTATTAGAATTACAGAACCAGCTCTAGTGATGGAACAGCTTGTGGCTCTGGAACCGAGTTTCTGCGCCCACATCCATGTCTATGAGCACCAATACTTGGTCTCCCTGGGCCTCGGTGCTCACATCTGTGAAATGGGAAGAATAATGGCAGTTAAGCCCCAGGTTAAGGATTATATGAATCACTCTGTGTAAAGTCTCTGGTGAGTTGTCCATACAGGCTAGACCTGGTGTCAGTGCTGGGGCGGAAACTGGAAAGAGAAGTTTGGCTGGGGCAGGACCAGACTGGTAACTTCCAGGCCCTGCTTCTGTGAACTTGGCATTGGTAACAATGAACTGGTGAGGGTTCTCTTACTAAGTTACTTTCCTGGAAAAACCTCACTGAAGAAAATTAAAGCCATCATCAAATGCAAGCATTCTTTTCACTTTTGAACTATATTAGATTGCCATCCAATGCCAGACTCCCCAGCAGCTGAGACTCGAGCTGAGATGGGAGAGCCTGGTACCCAGAGGCAGCTGTGTGAAAAGGACAGTGGAAGCAGTGGCGTGTCGCAAGTGGCATGTCGCACCACCCACCTGGCGAGTGGGGGGGCTTTAGCTGGTCCTTGAGAATATCTCTTCTCTCAAAAAAAATCACTTCCCCATATAAAACATCTAAAGGACTTATCCGACCTTTGCAGAACTCTCTATACCCCAAAATATGGCCTGCTGGAATTTGAACCCACAGCCAAGGATTAGCATGGGGCTATTCAGTAGCTGAAAGAAGTGGAGGAGAGAATGCCAGGAGCTCCATGACCTGCAGCTAGTCCTTCTTCTAGCTTTTTTTTTTTTTAATTTATTTTTATTTTAAAGGCACAGTTACAGAGAGATCAAGATATTCTGTCTGCTGGTTCATTCTCCAGAGGGAGCTAAAGTCAAAGCCAGGAGTCAAGAGCTTCTTTCAGGTCTCTGATGCATGTGCAGGGGCCCAAGGACTTGGGCTGTCCTCCACTGCTTTCTCAGGCCCTAAGCAGGGAGCTGGATGAGAAGTTGAGCTGGATGGGATGTCACTTAGCCTGCAGTGCTATGGTGCCAGCCCTGCTATGTTACCTTTAATTGGCTTCCTCCCAACTGATGTATGTGTATTTATGTTTTAATGACTATATTCCCAACAGCTAGAACAGTTTCTGCTGGGACCTCAATAACTATTTGCTGAGTGAGTTAAGAGACACTGCGTCTCATTTCTACATTTTCCAGGCCCGTTCAGCAGAATGGCAGTCAAGAACGAAGCGCTCAATATAGGATTATTAAATAAATGAATGACCAAGCAAGGAAGTACTAAGGCACCAACAAGGAAACAGTGTTTTCACCATTAAGAAAGGTGGTGTTCCTTTGATTATATTCATGCAGCTACTACTGCATTTCTAAATACTTGGCTTTTCTGCCATTCCAGAATATGTGCCTGCATCTAGTCCTGGTGTGTCTAGTAACTAGTTGAACTAACTCAATAGTCCCCTGCCCCTTAATAATAATTGATCTCTGCATGAGTTAATATACAGTAGAGTGCTGTGACAAAAACAAAAAGCCTTCTAAAGCAAGGTCGGGCCTAATCAGCCAATGACAGCCCTCTGCACTCCCAGCTCTTTGTTTTCGCTCTGCTGTCTTCTCTTCTCCCCAGAGCTGGCTTGCCTTGCCTAGAAGGAAGTTACGGTGCACGTTTCAATGATTAAGAACACTCAACACTCAGCACCGGTGACCTCAACAAGGGCTTTTGCATGTCCGCTCTCTACAAGGCAAGCTGCCTGTGCTATTCCCCATGCTGTGTCATCCTCTCTTGGGAGCCTGATCACCAAATCCCATGGCTAGAGATGTTCAGATCACACTGGAGCCTGCGGAGCAATTACACTGCAGATTCTGAAGTAAGTGATTTTAAACTGTCTTCCTTCCCCTTCCCAGTAAAAGAGAAAAATAAAAAAATCAACTGTTTTAAAATAAATCCAGAGTCAGGACAAACTTGAGGAAATAGGTTTTCTCAGTGTCTGTGATCTTTCTTTTTATTCTTATTATTTTTTTTTAAATACAGATCTCAGCCTGATCAAATCTAGACTGGTTGACGTTTGGCAGTGAAGTCAGCATGAGTATGCAACTGTGGCAGAGGAATGTCTTTCTGTCGGCCTGCCTGTCATGGCCATGGTCTGAACCAGAGCTAGACAAGGACCACTGCCTTTGCATCCAACAGAAACGCACTACCTCTGAGTGCTTCAAGCATCATGATCAATTCTCTGTTCATCTCATTTCCCAACTATCACACTTCAGCATGTTTCCAAAGCGTTTTCTCTGTGTTGCCTTTCCATTACTTCCCAGCTTTTATCAATCAGCAGCTGCTTTGACAGATCCTCAGTGCTGCTCTGTAAAGATGACCAGATGGTATTAAAGCCACTTCCACAGCTAGCTCTGGCATCTTATCAGTCACACTCTCCGATGCGCTTAGCACAATGCAACTCTCATCTAGTTTCAGTAAGCAGCAGGGATGTCGGCCTGGGCTCCACCCTAGACCAAGTGAATCTGAAACTCTAAGCGAGGGCTCAGCAGTCTGCGCTTTATCAGCTTTCCAGGTGATTCTGGTGCCCAGCAGAGTCTGAGAACCACTGACCTACTACACAGAGGAGAAGTACACTCAAGTCAGAAAACGAAAACAACTATTTACCATTAATTCGCAATCTTAGGGAAGTCAACTTGATTTCAGTTTCTCTAACTATGAAATGATACTTAGCATCTGGGATGACTTGTTAAGTATCCTTTCCCCTACCTCCTATTTCTAGCACAGTACTTTGTTCCACCATTTAGGGTTCACTGGTTCCCAAAGTATGAACTACTAATCCTCAAAGTCACTTTTTTTTTGAAGGTTGATTTCTTTTTTTATTGGGAAGGCAGATATACAGAGAGGTGGAGAGACAAAGAGAAAGATTCTCCGTCCGATGATTCACCCGCCAAGTGGCCACAACGGCAGGAGATGAGCCACTCTGAAGCCAGGAGCCAGGAACCTCCTCCGGGTCTCCCACGCAGGTGCAGGGTCCCAAGGCTTTGGGCCGTCCTCAACTGCTTTCCCAGGCCACAGGCAGGAAGCTGGATGGGAAAGTGGAGGAGGCAGGATATAAACTGGAGCCCATATCCCAGATTGCGGTGGATGCAAAGTGAGTATTTTACCCACTAAGCTATGGTGCCGGACCCTTCAAAGTCACTTTCAAATGAAAATGAAAGAATAATTTTATCCAGAGTAGGCAAATCAATAGAGTCAGAAAGAGCTTAGTAGCAACCTAGTTAGTGGGTGAGGAAAAGGGGATGACTGCAAAAAACACTCAGAGGGTTTTTTTGTTGTTGTTGTTGTTTATTTAGAGAGAGAGGAGGAGTCAGAGAGATAGAGATCTTCCATCCATTGACTTCACTTCCCAGCAGGAGGCTGCACATGACCGAAGCCAGGAATCCACACCTTTATCTACATCTCCAACAACATTGGTGACAGGAACCCAAATATTTGGATCATCCTCTGTTGCTTTCGCAGGCACATTAGTAAGGAGTTGCATCAAAAGTGGAATAGTGGGCCCTTGGCACCGTAGCCTAGCGGCTAAAGTCCTCTCTTTTAACGTGCCAGGATTCCACATGGGTGCTGATTCATATTCCCGGCAGCTCCACTTCCCATCCAGCTCCCTGCTTGTAACCTGGGAAAGCAGTTGAGGACAGCCCAAAGCCTTGGGACCCTGCACCCATGGGGGAGCCTGGGAAGAGTTCCTGGCTCCTGGGTTCGGATCAGCTCAGCACCAGCCATTGCAGTTACTTGGGGAGTGAATCATCAGACGGAAGATCTTTCTCTTTGTCTCTTCTCCTCCCTGAATATCTGACTTTCCAATAAAAATAAAATAAATCTTTAGAGCCCGGTGCAATCGCATAGTGGTTAAAGTCGTTACCTTGAACACGCTGAGATCCCATATAGGAGCTGGTTCTAGTCCCAGCAGCCCCACTTCCCATCCAGCTCCCTGGCTGTTGCTTGGGAAAGCAACAGAGGATGACCCAAAGCCTTGGGACCCTGTACCCATGTGGGAGACCCGGTAGAGGCTCCTGGCTCCTGGCTTCAGATTGGCTCAACTCCAGCCATTGCAGCCGCTTGGGGAGTGAACCATTGGATGGAAGATCTTCCTCTCTGTCTCTCCTCCTCTCTGTATATCTGCCTTTCCAATAAAAATAAATTTTAAAATTCACTTATTTAAAAAAATAACTTAAAAAAAATGGAATAGTGAGACTTAAAGCAGCTCCCTTATTGAATGATAGTGTGCCAAGTAATGGCTTAATCTGGTTCAGGTTGTCTTCCCGTGATAAAGGAAGTGTTCTAGAATGGAATGTCAGAATGATTGTACAGCTTTCTAATGTAGAGAAAGCCACTG